AGATAGATAGATAGATAGATAGATAGATAGATAGATAGATAGATAGATAGATAGGGCAACTCAGTGGTGAACTGTGGGTGCTGTCCTTGGTGCTGATATCTGACCTTGATTGTTTTCTTGCAAACATTTCTTTACCCAACTAGGTAGTATCATCAATGCTGGGAAGGAGTGGGCTTTATAGAGTTGAGGAGGGAGGAGGAGGAGGAGAATGAAAACTGCAGGATCTTTGTTCCTTTCTGATCTGGGTCCTTTTCTTGCAGACGTTCCACGACCCAACCAGGTAACATCATCTGTTCTGCTAAGGTTTGCTCTGTTTTATATAAAGCCACTTGTACTACCGTGTTTCTCATATAATAAGGCCGGGTCTTTCTTTTTTTTGAGCCCTGAAAAAATGGCTAGGCCGTCTTTTCGGGGGGTGACTTAATTCCCCCCCCCTTGCATCTTCGGGTGGGCGGGCGGCGATGGCTTGGATGTTGACCTCGGCGTTGGTGAGGCACTTCGTATGGGGATCAACGCAGGCAGCACCATATCCGGGTGTGCAACAAAAGTACTTCCTAACGGCAAGCCCCCCCACCATTCCCCCCCATTTCACATGTTTTGATATAGGCCTTAATTTGGGGGGAGGGTCTTAATTTCATTTCATGCCTATAAAACATGCTGGGACTTCCTATTGGGGGAGGCCGTATTGTTGGAGAAACAGGGTAATAAAACAGAGAGCGAACCCCTCTCCTGGCCTCCCCTGTCAGTGTGGGCAGAAGGGGGCGTCCTTGGGAGATGCCTCCCCCACCCAGCAGCCCAGAATGCAGTGCAGCATGGGACTCCCGATACGAAGCCTCGGGAGAAGCAGACGAGGAAGGGGGCCGTTTCTGCAGCGGATTTCCAACCCCGCTTTCCTTGAGACCCCGAGTCCGGGTGGGGGGCAGACCCGGATCTTCAGGACCCCACCTGGGCAGCCCCGTAACGTGGGAATGGGCACAGTTCACGTGAATCTCCTCGCAGCCCCCCACCCCGTCCTCCCCTACCCCACCCCGGGCTTTGCAGGGGGGAGGGAGACCTTCCCCAATAACGCTTCGTATCCCCCTCCCAGCCCTTCCCTGCAAGCCGCCCCCACCCACCCACCCTCTGGCTGGCTGGGTGGGGATGATGGGACCTGTAGTCCCCCCCACCCTCCGGCCCTCACCGACTCCCGCTCCTCCGCGGCCTCGCTGGGGCTCCGCGACATGCCGGCGACGCGACGAGACTCTACAGGCGGAGAGAAGCCCACCCACCACAATCGCCCCCGCCGCGCCGGGCCAGCCTCCGAACTTCCGGCCGGGCTCCATGGCAACCGCCCCGGCAACCGCCGGCAGGGGACCCGGATGGACGCGCAAGCGGCCGCGCCTGCGCAGAGGTGCTGTCTTCCTTTCGCCAGGAAAGAAGGCCGCAGCCTCTCGGCACCACCCTAGAAGCCCCGCGCCCAATCCTCCGGGACTCTCGGGTGTGGACGATGGGGAGATCGGAGCCCAATGTGTCTAAAAGGCTCCCCGGCGGGAGGAGAAGCCAAATCTTTGCGCCGTCAGGGGGTAGAGAAAGCTCCTCTCGCCCTTCTGCGCATGCCCGGGCCAGGAGGGCGGGAACGAGCCCGCGCCTGCGCAGAGAAGACGAGCCCCCTGTAGTTCGCAAGCACGGGATTTGCACCGGGAAGGTTACGTTGCTCTGATCGCTTGCAACCCTCGTTTTTCTTGCAAGCGGAGCCTGCTCGGGATTGCATCCGCGGCCGCCGGGCTGCTGCCTCTCTTTGGAAATCCCCATAGGAACCCTATATTGGGGCTGGGCTCGTCTCTTCCTGCCCCTTGCCCAGCCACGCTGCTTGCATTGGGACCAGCCGATTCAATTCCCCGGTAGAGAAAGACGGGATGGCATTCAGATGACCGTGGCAGACGCGTGTCTGCACTAAACAGGGGGCGTCAACGGAGCTTGCAGTGGGAGCTTTAGTTTCAAAAAGTTTTAAAATGTTTCCCACCGGGGCAGCTAAGGAGCCTCTCTTATCAATTGTGAATATATAGCTTTGTTTTCTGGGGCTTCGCTTCCTTTTTTTTTTTTTTGCAAGAACACCCCCGCGAGGCTTCTTGCTCCCCATGGATGCAAAATGTTCCCAGCTTTTGCCTTCCGTTTGCACCGTCCTGGCCGATCCCGGGCACCCCGTGGCGGACGACACTTGTCTGGAAAAACTGCTGGACTGGTTCAAGGCTCTGGCCAGCGCTGGTGAGTTGGCACTTAGTTTTGCATTTTGGGAAGGGTTTCTTTCTTTTTTTGTGAGGAAACCCATCCTGAGATGCCAAAGGAGGGCAAGTGATGGAGACATTGCAAACATTAGTTTTGGCATCAAAAGATCACCTTGGCTTGCTTGAGGTTATCAAGTTTGGAATTGTTCCTTTTAGCATCTTATGACTGTCACTTGTTTGTACCTTGTGATTTAGGTTGGTTGCTTTATTTAGTATCCTTTTTTTAAATTAATATGTTTTTTTTTATTCATGAACATTTTGAATACAGTGTATTGTCAGGGCATATCATTTACAGAAAATTAACGTATCTCATAGTACATGTATTAACGGCGGCTAGAATATTATATGCACAATATTGGAAAAATGAAATCATACCTCCAGAAACAGAAATAATAAAAAAAAATTATGGCTCTTGCAGAATCAGATACATTAACTTTAGAAATAAAAAACAAAGGAGAGTCTAAATATTATAAAACATGGAATAAATCTTATCAATAGTTATATAATAGAAGACGAGGTCGAAATATTAGTCTGTATGATTAGATTAATTAACGAGGGGGATCCCGGAACAGCTGATCATTGGAACAGCTGATTGTTGGGAGGAGGAAAAAAAATACCCTAAGGAGTGACTGGGCGGGGGAGAACGCAGTCAGCGATGTGCATGTGCGCAATGTTGTGCATGCACGATAAGGACTTACTGGGTGGAGAGGGGCGGGGCCAGCCAGGGGCACGATTTGTCGGTTCTCTGAACTGCACAGAATCGTAACAACCGGTTCTATAGAACCAGTCCAAACCGGTAGAATCCCACCCCTGCTTTGGTGTTAAGTGAAACGTGGTGGTTAAAATGAGTCCATTTTATAGCCCGTGGGTGTTTTCTGCCAGAGACGGGAAGCAGACACCATTTCCTGGCAAAATAATGCCAAAAACGGTGGTCAAAGAAGGGCTGTGGGACCCCTGAAACAGCCGTAAATGCAAGCTGGTTACCAAGCAGTTCTTGGTCTGGTCATAAATTTAGGACTCCCTGTATTTTTTTTTTCTCCTTCCCCTTCTAGGGCCTAGTTTGCTGGTGTTAAAAGAGAACCCGTGTCTCATCGAGTTGATCCTGGCGGTGCTCAAACGAGGGGAACCAGATCCCATCCTTCTGTCTTTCATCCTGAGGCTCACGGGAATCTTTGCCGCTTCCGAAAGCAGCTTCCAGCATTTGCAGGTTAGTCCGTCAGAGCCGCAGGAATCGATTCGAAGGTCGGCGTGTTGACTGAAAAAATATCATACCATTCTCTCCTTTCTTCTGCATTATTTTAAAAAATCCAGATTTACTTTAATTGGGGGGGGGGGGGGGGATTTGAATGTTTACAGTAGAGCCCGGATGGATGGGTCAGGATTCCTAAGCCATTGTTTTTGTAGTTCCACAGCTGTGAAGCATCCGTCAGAGCAGCAAGAGGCTGATCTGGCAATGCAACTGGCTTGCTTGCTTTCCTCTTTCCTCCCTCCCTCTTCCCTTCCCTTCCCTTCCCTTCCCTTCCTTTCCCTTCCCCTCTTCCTTCCTTCCTTGCTTGCTTGCTTTCCTCTTTCTTCCCTCCCTCTTCCCTTCCTTTCCCTTCCCCTCTTCCTTCCCCTCTTCCTTCCTTCCTTGCTTGCTTTCCTCTTTCCTCCTTCCCTCCCTCTTTCCTTCTCCTCTTCCTTCCCTTCCCTTCCCCCCTTCCTTTCATTTCCTTTCCCTTCCCTTTCCCCCATCCTTCCCTTTCCCTCATCCTTCCCTTCCCTTTCCCAAATTATTAAGATGTCTACTGTTACCCAGTGCCCTCCCCAATGACACATGCAAAATCCAGGCGTTGCCCCCACCTCCCAAGGAACAAAATTTAGAATTTCGTTTCAAATGTAGATAAATTTAACCCAGGAGGAAAACTGTCAGGCGACAGTAAACCAGGGAAGCCTGACGATTCCAAACGGAATAAGCCGCCACCTTGATTTCCTTCCCTTCCCTTTCTCTCGAGTCAGCAGCAGGAGGTGGTGTTTGGAGCCTTCGGAGAGGCAGGCCCCCTGGGCAGCCCCCTCTGGGAAGACATGACCATTCGGAGCGGCTGGGTGCAAGGGGCCTACGCCATGCTGCAACATTACAGCGCCTTCCAGTTCCTCTGCAACTCTGGCAAGTGCTTTTCCTCCCCTTCCTAAGTTCAGGTTGGACAGACTTTGGCCCAGAGGCCTCCAAACCTGGCAACTTTTAAGACGAACGGATTTCAATTCCCAGAATTGCTGGCTGGAGAATTCTGGGAGTTGAAGTCCACAAGTCTTAAAGTTGCCAAGTTTTTTTTTTTGGGGGGGGGGGGGCTGCTTTGGCCCATACAGGCGGTCCTCAGTTTACGGCTGTAATTGAATCCAGAATTAACAGTCGTAAGCCTTGCCTCTCCTTAAGCATAGGCCTCCGCCCGATTTCACAACGTTTATGCTTTACAGCCGTCTGTGACTTCCTAACCGTTGCTAAGCAACCAGTCACTGAAGGCAAGGACTACCTGTGCACCAATTTCTGCTCCTGTAAGTGACAGGTTGGAGGCTGCCTACGACAAAGAATTGGGGCCTGAGAGTTTTCTATGTATTAACGAAAATGGATTGTCCGTGGTTAACAAGTCTCATGTCTGACATGTTATCTTTTGTCCCGTGCAACAACGATGATGCCGCGGAATCAAAGGATTAAAAAAGAAAAGAAATATTGTTTGCCATTTAGCCAAAGTCCTAATCATTGCTTATGTTCATGATTAACTGGCAGACTAATAGAGTTGGAAGGGACCTTGTAGGTCATCTAGTCCAACTCCCGCCCAAGCATTTCTGACAGATGGGAGCCCAGTCTCTTCTTGAAAGCCTCCAGGGATGAATATCCCACAACTTCCGAGGGCAACTTCTGTCCCATGGGTTGATTGTTCTCCCTGTCAGAAAGTTTCTCCTTATTTCCAGGTTGAATCTCTCCTTGATCAGTTTCCATCCATTATTCCTTGTCTGGCCTTCGGGTGCTTTGAAAAATAGCTTGACCCCCTTCCTCTTCTCTGTGGCAGCCCCTCAAATATTGGAAGGCTGCTCTCCTGTCTCCCCTGGTCCTTCTCTTCCCTAAACTAGCCTGGCCCAGTTCCTGCAACCGTTCATCGTATGTTTTAGCTTCCAGTCCCCTCATCATTTTTGTTCTCTTCTCTGCACTCTTTCTAGAGTCTCAACATCTTTTTTATAGTGTGGTGACCAAAACTGGATGCAGGACTCTAGGTGTGGCCTTACTACGGTTTTATAGAGTGGTGTTAGTACCTCCCTTGATCTCGATTGTATCCCTCTGTTAATCCCCAAGAGAGTTTTCTTAAGAAATGGCTGCTTTCTCCTGAAATGGTCAACGTCGTTTATCGCTGCCCCACAGGAGCTCTAGATATGATCTTCACTCTTCAAGAAGACCCCAGCCTCTTCATCGCTGCAGGAGCCAACCGCCTTCTTGCCCGCCTGCTCATTTTCTCCGTAGAGTCCGAGCCGTCTCGTCTTCTCAGCTCAAAGGACTACGATTGGCCGGCCTGTGCTCGGATGATGGTCGCCCGTGTTGAGGAGGCTCTCACATCCCGCTCTTTGTCCCGGATCAACCATTCCCTGAAGCTCTTAATGACGTTATTTGAACACAGCCAGGATGCCTGGACCGAAATCTTGTGGTCACGCCTAGCAGAAACGGTGGAAGCTCTCCTGATGGAAGATTCTGTCCATGTAGGACCCTGGCTTGTTGATTTGTTCCTTAGCATGGCGAGGTAAGAGAGGGTTCATAAGTTACTCTTTTAAGAGCCCTGAATTGGTTAAGATGGTGGGACAGGGCTTGTATGTAGGGTTCTTGTCATGCCCCTGATTCGAAGAGGGAGGCTGAACAGCTGACAGGGAGTGGGAGTGTGGCTCTGTTGGCTGTGGAGGAAACTGGGGAAGGGCACAGTCTGGCTGGGCAGAGCAGGAAGAGGAAGAACAAGGGAGAGGGAGTTCAGAGGAAGACCCAGGCCCACCTCCTCTTCATCCTAGGGCACAC